ATTCCAACACAACTGCACAGTAGTTTGGTCCAAAGTCCCTGAACTTTTTGTACGCTTCATTCTTTACCGTTTGAATCCAAGTAAGAAATTAATCCCTCCCTTCATATTTATTCATCCATCCAAATAAATATACTTGAAATAAATAAGTAGCTCGTTACGCGAACAGCTGCCTGTCTTTCATACATAATATAGCTCTTAAAACAGTAAAAGTAGCTCGAAACTGTGGAGAAAAAACAGAAATGAAGCTTTCCTCAAGTTTTGAAAATTAATGTGACGAATGAAAATGAAACAGAAGGAAAAGTCAATACACGAATACGAAATTTATCGCTTATTAACTATTGATAATAATAACAAAACAACTGACATCAGGTTAGCAAAGACACTCTTTTAAAAACAAAGAATTTCAAAAAACATGTATTTATACATCTTTCACCTCTACTTTTCAACAAGCTGTCGTCTGTACACTTTTAGGCAGTGAATTAAAACTGTGACAAAAAATCCTAGCAAGAGAAATTTTAAACCAACAAGACACTTTCTCAAAAGTGTTTTCTTTTACGCATATGAAACATTTCACTTAATTTTTTCGTCCATTCTTGGTGAACTTGTCGCCTATTCAAAGAAAAAGATTGCAGAAACCAAAAGATTAGAAGCTAGAAGTAAACACGTATAGAAGCTATCGTGTAAATGCTGTTTCGAAAAAAGTCTTTTAAAGCCACCTTTCCTCCCATAAATATTTCGACTTCTCGGTTTCGGTCTTGTCCTTGTTCAATTTAGATCAATAAAAACCTGTACAACAACAAGAGCACCAGCACTAGTTGCAGCAGTAACAACAACACCTATACGACAACGACACGAACACGGACAACACAATCAACACTCCAACACTAGCCAACAAACTCTAACATAAACATCACCATAACCATTGTGCCGATAAACGTGAACTTTTTAGAGCAAAATCAATGATAAAAATTATAAATTATTAACAACTTCTTCGCGGTAGCAATTTTCCTAGATTTCCCCTGCCGTTCAATCCCCACCACGGTCTTCTTTCTCCGTTAGCTTGGTATTCCAAGGAAAGGGAAATGAATATTTTCCTCAATAACAACATAACTTCCCACTCCTTTTTCCCACTCACTCTTCAAGCAAAGCAAAAAGTTCTTACTTCTATTAGAAAAGTCCTCTTTCGTTACTGCTTTTTTCCTAAAGTAAAACAAAGTTTCAAACAACGCTTACATACGCACATATTAAAAAGTCTGAAAAACTAATAGTCATTAAATTCTGAGATAAGAAAAGCAGCTAAATTGGTAAAAAAACTAGAATATTTGGCGTAGATGCAGTGTTGCCTTTTGAAAAGCTTCAAAAAAGACCGTAACACAAACAAATGACAAGCATAGCAAATTTTCAAAGAAATTTGTCTGAAAATAAGTGATGATACCGACCAGAAAGAGAGATAAACACCACCAGTGTTTTAAGATTGAAATTTGGTTAAATCAGAACTATACTAGTTTAAGCCTCATCTCCGTAGAACATAAACAGTAACCCGTAAGATAACTGCAGCCTGCAGATGATACAATGCACAAATGCTCGAAACAGTTCTTTACCATATGCAGATTTTTGTAGACTGAATATAAACAGTTAGTGAAGAGATCTGACAATATTTATTTAATTGAGTTCTCACCGAAACATCAATAGCTCCGAATAACCTAAGCCAACTTTTTTTCGCAGATCAAACCTTCAAACATGACAAGATGTCTCAGCGCTATCTTTACTTCTCCACAAAAAGAGAAAAAAAACTTGTAACCAAACTATTTACAGTTTTCAATGAACATACAACTAAAACAATTTTTTGACAAAAAAAAAATAAATTTTCTCAGCGCAATTTTTCTTTCCGAAGAACGGATATAACAAATAAATAATTTATGACAAAAAAAAAAAAGAAAGCTTTACCTGACTGCTACAGAAAAAAGAGATGAAATGGTGACAGTAAATAAAAATAAAAAGAAAGGATCGGAAACAAGATTCCAGCATCAGTCCCCACTCCATCAAAGGTCTTCGACAATATTATGTATAGCGAGTTAAACTTAATTAGAGGATGGCTTGACTTGACTGAATAGCACCCAGTTTAAAAAGGCGTCAAACTCGTCAAACTCATACCCTTGTTTCCCACTGAAACTGAAATTCAGTGGTATTTCTAAGACCAAAAATGCAAAAATAACCATAAGAATCCTAAATAAAGAGTAGAAACGAAAAACTTCATCTTCACTTTTAGACTTTGCATAGCTTGCAATTACTTAAAGGAAAACGCATAATCTGCAAAAGCAACCTCAACCCGCTTCAGACATAAACTAACAGAAATATGCATGTGCCTCAAAGTCATTAATACACAACGTAGAATTTCAAGCTATTTTTTTTTAAATTAGTTCCAAGTTATAAAAACCTAAACAAATAGCAATGCTGTTTTAGAACACTTCAATAAATCGCACACGTTCACTAAGGCAAAGCCACACAGAAAAATGCAAATAAACGTAGAAAAGATGGCCAAACAAACCGATTTCTTGACTCGTAAGAGGACTGACTGACTGAATAACGAAGGGTTAAAGCTATACTTAAGAAGAAAGAAAAAAGAAAAAGGTGCAAATGAGAGAGTTTTTCAGAACAACTGCTGGGCATGAGTGAAATGAAGAAAAAAGATAAGGAAGTAAGAAACGTAGAAAACGAAGACAGAACTAAGTATTCCAATACGACGAACCACAGTGGAATTAAGCTCAAGATAGTGTCTCTCGGGGAACCATGGAATTATCCGTCCGCCATCACCGTACCATTGTCACTACAAGCAATAACACCAACCTGAAATTCAAATCTACGAACGTCGTCGCTATCCAGCAACTAGTGCCAATGGCCTCCTCAGTTACCTTTCCCCTTAGGCCACTTAGAAAAAAAACCTCAATACTTAAGGTAACTTTCAACAAGAGTACCGCTGTGAACGCTGTCAAAACTTAAACTACTGTGTTCAAAAAGAGAAAAAGAACCGGGAAGTAGAGGAGAACTGCAGCATGTTTCGTAGAAAGTGACTGCCTCGGGATGTACAAAATGACCATCAGCAAGCACCAAAGCTCTTTTGCGTTTATCTAGCTTGTCCCTTTCGACTCCCACTTACGACAGATAGAAAAACGTATAAAAGTTGTTCGACTAAAGGATGGTGAAAGGAAAAAATGCTTAGGAAAAAACACCACAGGAATAACTTTCTCTTTTTCTTCCTTTCCTTCTCTCACCCAACAACAAATACATGTACATCATACAGATGTGGTACGATTGGCCCACAGAATGCAAACCCCTCTATCCAAACAGAAAAACATAATAAAAGGGCAATGAACTAAAAACAGGCGTCATCACCCATTGCCATCTTCGTTATACAGACTTTTTTAACTACCAAAAAAATTAGGAAATAAAAGAAAAAAAAGCAAAAAACAACAACAACAAACAATAAAACAGTTCTCGATTTCTAAGAAAAAAACCTCTTCCCTTTAAAAGTAGGAAATGCTTATCAGTATGATTAGTGTGAACAAAAATGCCCCTCAACAACAAACGTAGATGATCACCGACATTTCAGAAATATAGTACGTATTTGTGTGTGTGTCTGTGTCTGTGAGTGAGAACGCGTCTGTGTATCTCGATGTCTGTGTCTACGCACTGTTTCATCCCAAATATCTTATTGAAAAAACCACCGTCACCATCACCGGCCACAGAACACAACTGTCGTTGCATTCATCCGTAGTTAAGCACTAAAATTTATACCTAACAAAAAGCCACGTTCATAGAAACATCATTTAAAAAAATCCAAAACTCGCATTTTCACTCATCTCTTTACCAATATTCCCCAATAAATTCAAACTGCTCAACAGCGACGATCATTTATGTCCACCTTTGACCGTTTGGACAAAAAATAAGATTTTTTAACCATAATTCCATAAGTTTTTCCTTCATAAAGAATTTCTCCTTGTTTACTTATTTTAACGTTTACTAGTGCCGGAATAGTAAAAAACTGAAGAAATTGAAAAATAATTAAAATATTACCCTTATTGATACTAATATTGTCATTCTCATTGTTATCACTGCTACTACTCTTGTTCTTATTGTTATTTAGAAAATATTAGTTTATATATGAAAGGAAAACAATACTTTATTATTTATATTATTGTTATTATTATTATTATTATTATTATTATTATTGTCATCATTATTATTTTTTCAACCACTACTCGTGCTATCGTTATTAATGTTATAAAGTTCGTTGTTACTACCTAAATAAGGATACATTACTTCCGAACCTTGCCACTGATATCATCTAGAACATCCTTTAAAGATGAATAATGCTAAATAGTAATACTGAAGCAAC